CAAAATGGTGACTTGTAAGGGGTCAGGAGAAAATGACGCGGTGACGCGCCATTGACGCGCAATTTCCCACGGTATGCCCAACTTATATTTGATCATCGTGGGTCATTTAAAATCATTTCTCCAGAATCCCAGCAGGGTGGGAGCCTCTCAAAGGACAGGCCAGGTACCTACACCAAAATGGTAATGTTATGTGGTGAACTTGTGCCGTACAGAGGCCACTTTGACTCAAATGGGAGTTGCGGCCTTACACAGGACAGTGGAGATAAAATGCAATGTTCCACGGCTGTTAATTACCAGTTTTGTTGAGTTACAACAACACACACATGCCGCGTCGGGTCTACGTCAATGCGCGCCGCTGCCGCGTCAGTGCGCGTCAGTGCGCGCCGCTGCTGCGTCATTTTTACCAGGCCCGCTTGCAAGTCACAAATGTGACTTGCACAAGTTAACTTGTCGGCGATGACTTGGGTATATTCCTGATCCCGGGAGGCCTCAAATTTTCATTTTAACCTAGGAATGGCATCCTAATAAGTGGTTTCTCGAGTCAGAATGTTGTTTCGGCCAAGTGTGGTGGTCACGGGTATGCTTGCCCTCGCTGTTGAAGTGTTCCTGCACCAATCATAGCTTCGATCATCGACTTCTCCGTATATAATTATTCGGTTGGTCCCTTTGTATTCCCAATCAACGTATCATAACTGCAGGATGTGCGGAAATTCGAAAATTCGAAGTTGAACACCGGGTGCTGTAAGTTTGGGGGTGTTTTGGGGCTGTATGGCTTTTTCGTGACAGTGAATGATTTGCTAACACGAGCTTCGGGCTTCAGATGTGGGGGCTATACAAAGAACGACCCAAAGCCATTCATCTGGGCAGTTTTGCGATCGAACAAGTCAACGAGCACGACTTGCCATATAAGTCATTCTATTTTCGCGTACAAGTCATCCTGCGAAATTGGCTTGGATGACGATGTTGACTTGTGCCGCACGGCAGGTGAAGCACTCTACAAGGTGCCAGCTATCAAGTCACTCAGTTCGCAACCGTCGGCTGCCGGCGCTTTTCATGATCGCCCACCAGCTTCTCTCGTCTGCTAAAATCAAGGGGCTGTCGGGGTTAAAATTTCGGATATGGGGAGGGGGTCCCGGGGAGGTCTGAAAAAAACCTTTTTAGTATGATTTTGTATGAAGTCCTGGGACCTCTAAAACATAATTTGAGGTATGTAGGAGCCATACAATGGCCGTTCGGAGGCTCCCGGAGCCACAGCAGTCCCTGGTCTGGGGAGGTGTAAAAATGATAGATCAGCTCAGAAAGGGACATACCATGGGTAGTAATAAGATCTATGATGTTCCAGTCAGAGGTAATGGTATTCTCGTCGGCTGGATTGCCATCAGGTGGCGGTGAGGTGGCGGTGACCCTGCACATGACTCGGAGGCACGGCCCGCCGCTAGGGGTGGGAACCTCCTTCCCTATATGGGGAGGGGGTCTCGGGGGAGGTCGAAAAAAACTTTTCGACCTGATATCCGATTTTCGAAACCCGACAGCCCCTTGGCTAAAATATAGCAGCTCATCGGGCCGCCCGGCGGCAGTTACGAGGTTCGTGGTCTTTCTCACAGAATTTCGTGACGATCATCCCGTGGTTAAGTGCTACCTTGTTTACTTAACAACTAAGCTGACAACTGTTCGAGACACAGAAGCGGTATTTCCGCACAGAATTACGGAGCAAATTCAAGGACATTCAGCGAAACATACATATAGTAATACTCCCCGGTCGCATCTGAGGCTGATTACGCAGTGCACCGAGGCTACAACAGATGCAGCACAGAGCCCAAATTTTCGTCTCGACTAGAGGTCCATATTCCGTGGGGCGCGTGGAGTTAGATTCAAGTTAGATTCTTGAATTCTTCACATTAGAGTCCTGCCCAAGCGATCACGGGGCGATAGCTAGATAGCGGGCCCTGCCGCGCAGCGGGCTACCTAGATTATGTATCTAGGTTGAAATCTATACTGAGAACGGCTCGATGGCGGACGGTCCGCACCTGCATCTTATTAGGTCTTGCAAAACTGGATGCATGCATGGGTCACCTGTTCGACTCGGCTCGAGCCATAGCACGTGAGGAAACCTTTTTTTCAAACCTCTGCCACCCAGACCAGCTGGCGCCTTGCCGCGGAATCCGCCGGCACTGGGTGCAAATGTGCACGGGCATATATTGAGGTTTGAAAGCAACCCAACAACGGCTCGATAGCGGACGGTCCGCACCTGCATCTTATGGAGATTTGCTACGGCATATATCACGCAGGTTACGCCCGTTCGACTCGGGCTCGAGCCATCCAGCATGAATGCGGTTTTTTTTTACAATGTTCTACTAACTGAATCGCCAGCTGGCGAGACACGCTAAGAGTTCGCGGTCGGATTGTTGAATGAGCCAGAGTGAGCTGAGCTGACCTACAGCCAAGTCATAATGCGCCCGCGCGAGAGAGAGACCGCAGGAGACAGAACTTGTGTATTGTTATAGAAAGGGCAGCAAGACGAGATACAAAAGGAGTTGTGCCACAACTACACAAATGGAGACGTCGAGACACAGAACGGAATACGAGGGAGGGAGGAATACGGAGAGAAGGAGCGGCGCAGGAGGAGGAGCAGAGGGCTGCACGGAAAAAAAAAAAAAAAGGAGTGCGTCGCGCTTGCAGAGGCTGCAGCGCACTATCCGCGGGGACGGTGGCGCCGGTCTGCAAGTGCGGGATAGCGCGATCGCCGCGCAGCGAGAGGCGGCGCGTATGGTCGCAGCGGCAGCACGAACTGTACGCAGCGCGCGGGACCGCAAAAGAGTAGCAAGATCGCGACGCCTCGGACGCCCTAGCACGCACGACAAAGCAGGCATGTAGCACACGAGGGGAATGAGAATACGTATCCCCCCCGCGTGCAGCGCCTGGGGAGCGTTGGGAACACGCTACAGCGCCGACGGCTCGAGGCATCGCGGGGTGGCGCGCGCCCGAGGGTGCGGGCGCTGATGAGCGCGCCCAAGGGATAACCTGCGCCACACAGTAGAGAGTGGGCCTGCGGCGCCGACACTCGAGACGGCGACTCGACCGGAAATAGAAAGAGAAGAGAAGCAAGACGACAACCAAAAACGAGGACTCACCAGCCCCGAAACGCTCAACACCGCAGCATACCCATGCTCCCCGAACCGCACTAGCTTCCCTCAGCGACGGGTATGGAAGGTGAGGCGGCACGTGCGCGAGGACCGGCGTGCGACACCGAGCAGGGGAGCCTCGAAAGCGCTAACCACCACCGCAATGCATCACGGCATACACGCTTGTAGAGGAAAACTAGAACGAAAGGAAAGTGACTCATCACCACAACGCAGAAGTCCGCGGGGCCCTTGAGGTAGAGCTGCGTCGTCGCGGTGTACTCCGGGGCTGTCGTCGCCCGCAGAGCGGACGAGGGAGGGAGGGGGAATGGGGCGGGGTGGGAGAGGAGGAAGAACGCCGTGAAGGGATTCGCAGGGACGCACGGCCTCAGGGAGGAATGGAAGGAGGAATGATGTAGGGATAGCGAGGAGCGGGGGCGCCATGAGGAGCGCCAAGGCAGAGTGTGGCGAGACGGCCCAGCGCAGCCAGGGCGACACGTCCTCCGCCTTGACGCCTGCCGCTAGCATCGTGGGCTTCCCGCCTTTGACGCTGGGCATCGAATTATGACTGTTGTGGGGTACGTGAGCGGGGACGAGCGCAGGCGGGGTGGGCGACGGCGGGGCGAGCGCGGCCCCGATGTGGTGCGCCGGGTCACTATTATCCATTCAATACAATCTAAAGAAACAACGGAAAGGAAAGAAACGGACTCGAGCGGGCCCTTGGGCTTTGGCCGTGCGGTGGAGATCATGCCAGTGGATGGCGGAGGAGACGTGGATTGACAGCAGATTTTCGGGTGGGGCCATCATTTTGATCAATTTAGGGTCATGAATGGAGCACGTGTCAGGGACCGAAGCGGGCCACTTCCATTTCCGCGGCACAGCCTTGTCGAACCGACGGGCCCGCCGGCGGGGGAGGCGGCATCCGTGGTTCCGCAGCAGGGTGTAATTGAGCTTACTCGAGCCCCAGCCGCAGTGTTTTCCTCAGGTGTTGTGGGAGGAGGACAAGACGATGTTTTCATGCGAGGTCTTTTTTATCTCCCAGCCCGAGGTGCTTCATGCGAGCTATTTTTCATGTAAGCTCGTTCTCGACGAGCCAGATTAGATTAGATCATGGAACGGCGATAGCGCACTACGGAGTCCAGCCGTGATATCATCCAATTGCAACTTGCAATTTTATGCGCCCGCAGGAATATTCGTACTCCTTTCAAATTCCGTGTGCACGAGGACTCAGCACTCACAGGATAGCCGTGTATTCAGGTTGCAAACCACCATAAGAACGGCTCGATGGCGGACGGTCCGCACCTACATCACATGGGTGTAAATAGAGGTGTTAATGTAGGACGGTCCTGGACACGCCCGTTCGACTCGGGCTCGAGCCATGGCCGCTTTGAAGGCATGTTCTTTTTTACAACAGTTTTCTCAAGATCTCCAGAGCTGCGCCAGCTGAAGGGATCCAAAATAATTCAACGCTTGTCTCATTCTCCTACTCGCATTTCCTGCTCAGAAAGCGGAGTCAGAGTGAGTCCCATGTTTCATAGCACTGATAATAATGCGCGTATATTCAGGCTCCAAATCAGGCCAAGAACGGCTCGATGGTGGACGATACGCACCTGCATTCATTCGTACAATTATATCCCCTTGCCTGCAGGAGACGCCCGTTCGTCCGAGCTATACATGGGTCGTGAATTCCTTGTTATTTTTCTAATGCGAGGCATACTACCCACGGCGAGTGCGTACCATCTTTTTCTTTTTTTAAATGCTCTGCCCATCACAGTTTTCACTGATTCGTTGCTGGTGCCTCGGACTGAGCCTGATCCACAAAGGACTCAAGACTCGCTAAAAAGCTCCACATCCATTGAAGCTGCAAGTGCAGATTGTGTCGGCTCGATGGCGGAGGGTCCGCACTTGCATTCCATACGTACGGAGCACACATGCATTCATGCAGGCGTTGCCCGTTCGACTCGGGCTCGAGCTATGGTAGAACTTCCTGGAGGATTTTTTTCTGCGCTTTGGCCCGTACCTGGGACCGTCACAGTTTTCACTGATTCTTTGTGGACACGTAGGACTGAGCCAGATCCGCAAAGGAGTCAAGACTCGCTCAAAAAATCCACCTACATCCAGGTTGCAAGTACAGGTTGTATCGGCTCGACGGCGGGCGGTCCGCGCCTGCCTCTTGCGCGGAAATGTGAGACGTACTGCAGGAACGCCCGTTCGACTCGGGCTCGAACCATGAAGGCGGGTTGCTCTACTTTTGTTTAGCCGCTCGCTCTTGACTTGAGGTTCCCTTTGGAATCCCCCCATCCCATAATTGCCCACCTGGGCACGGGGAGATGTGCTGTGCGATTCATAAATGCGGGCTGCAGCATGGGTCCTTTTCAGTCCGCACGAAAAGACCTCAATCTTCAATTCAAAGTCGTTGAAAATGCAGGGGTATCTAGGTTCCAAACCAAGCTTGTATCGGCTCGATAGCGGACGGTCCGCACCAGCAATTCGTGCAATCGCACCCCCATGCCAATGCGGGAGAGGCCCGTTCGACTCGGGCTCCAGCAATTTGCAGCTTATGCACTTCTTTTGGGTTAAATTTCTCCAACGCGCGGTGCAAATTCGTGCATTTCACATCCCCAAACTGCCCGTATATCTTTTGGTGGATTTACTGGTCCAAGCGCACATCAGCCTCAGAAATCGAGTCCTACTGACTAAGAGGGCTTATTCTGCGGGGCACAGCATGAAAAAGGCACATATATTCAGGGTCGAGCTACAGCATGTACCAGCTCGTCGGCGGACGGTCCGCACCTGTATTCCGTGTATCGAGTACGAAATGCCGGCAGGAGACGTCCGTTCGGCTCGGCCTCGAGCTATGTCTTGGTTTGTATGAACATTTTCTTCCTTTCCTACATTCCGAGAGTATTCAAAGCTCTGATGCAAGATCCCAGTGAATATTCAACTGTGTGTTCCTGTAGGGACCAGCGGCATAAAGAGGCGAGTATAATCCTCGCCGCACTTGCGGGATGAATGCACGTATAAGTATCAGGGGTTTACAGCTCTTTGAGAACTTACTGGGGGCACAAGCCAACACACATGCGCTGGAGGCATGTGTTCCACATGTCCAGTAGATCCCCGGGGTCTCTCTAGTTGCAGGCATCCATCGATCACAAATAACTAATCTCCTCTCTCACTCTCTCACTGGGCCAGAATTGCTGCCTGATGGAGGAAGTGAAGTGAAGTGGATCTCATGATGGCACGGATGAGCACAAAATAAATGCACAGATATTCAGGTTCGAAGTGCAGGTAGTCTCGGCTCGATGGCGGACGGTCCGCCCCTTCATCCCCTCGCATTTCTGTGGGATCCGTCCGTTCAATTCAGGCTCGAGCCATGTTGCTGGCATTGGTGGTTCCTTTTTTGGTGAATATTCCTGGCCCGCCTCTTCCTCTGGAGGAAGAACTGGCTCGGGTCCTGGGATATATCCTACCTTCTTGGATTTTATACGCCGTGCAGCCGTGACGGCTCCAGCCTCAGACGAAATCAGCAAACAAGATGGACATCTATCCAAGGGCCAAACCAGGCCAATAACGGCTCGATGGCGGAGGGTCCGCACCTGCACGTATTGTTTCTGACTCAGTCTCATGCAGGAGACGCCCGTTCGACTCGGGCTCGAGCCATATGTCTGTGCTGATCCATTTTTTTAAGCCACACTCAGCATCTTCCCATCCCAGGATAGCGAAAATGCACTTGTAGCAAGGGTGCGTATCAGGCTTGTACCAGCTCGATGGCGGTCGGTACGCCCCCGCATCGTCTGTAGTTTGAGTTTCGTACTCCAAGTGTAACTGCTCTTCTCTAAACGATTGACTCCTTCCTTCACAGTGCGCCCTACGTATTTGACCCCAGCCGATCCTCTCTTTTTCTTCCATTAGCATCGCTTCTGAGGCAACGGAGAAATAAGTGGTGGGTGTGTGTCACTCATCTTCATAGTAAGTGGCACGGTCGCAAAACCCAGGCGACTCCAGCATCGCCTCGATAGCGGTAGGAATGCAGCTCCATCCTATTCATAGATCTTGCAGCTGGCTGCCCGTTCGACTCGGGAATAGGGATCGAGCCATCACAATGTGGTCTAGGTATTCTTTCCTTTTGCTCCGCCGCCCCATTCGACCTAGAATCCTATCCCCGATTTATTTCTTCGTGGAATACGGGCGGTACCGAAGTTTCAATTCACTTCTGATTCTCCGCGGAGATAGGCGGTAGCGCCCCTCGCGGCTCATGATTCATCTCCACAAATCTATCCTCATCAAGAACCAATCGATTTCAGTCTGCCTACTTATAGCACCAATGTAGTATGGCATCTCGCAGTGCGTTCACAATCAATGTCCCTTTTCTCAGTGCTTTCGTAGCTGCATCCAGGGAAACTCCAATACTTTTTTTTTTTTTTTGTCATTCTTCATTTTCGAATACCGGAGCCTGTATTAGCTGCACCGCCATGTCCACTCGTGTCCTCATCCGCGCCAACATGTCACTGTACGTGAGTGATCTATGCTTCAAGTTGGCGGACATAGCTTAGCTCCATCGTTGCCATTATCTCCGATGTCAAATGACTGTTCCGATGCTGCTCACACGACGCACTTAAAGACTCGAATATAGACCACCCCTCTATCCTTCCACAACACAGCAGGAGTAATAAATCCGAAGAGATGTAGATGAAACCCGAGAATCTAATGGATACTGGGGTGGAATCGGATCATATAAGGATGGCACTTGGGTCGGCGCTGTCATCCCCGACGACAATGCCCTTTCAGCCCACTCCCGCGAAGATGAGCCTGAACAATATTATTGACTCCCTCAAAGCTGCTCTCACTACTTTGGATGCGGTTTCCGAAGGCCTGAGGGCTCCATTCTTGGAACTTATTTCAAACGTGACACGGTGTCTGTTGGCTGCTGTCCAGGTGATTTTTTTTTGCAATACATCCATCCCACTCATTCTGACTGAAGTTTATTAGACTGTAAAGCGGAATCAAGATGACTGTACACAGATGCTGGAGCAAATACACGAGCTTCTCCATGCCATAATTTATGTTCATGTAACATCTGATACTGGCGGTAAATTATCGCCAGAAATGATAGACAATTTGGGGAGAGTTACAGAGTGAGGTTTGCATTTTCACTCTGACAATATGAGGACTTACTCCCGTAGAACTTTGCACAAGATCCACGCATTTGTTGAAGCAGTGCAGGAGAAGAGCAAGATCAAGCAATTTTTCCGTCAAGGCGAAATCAGGGCATTATTAAAGGAGTGCCATCTAGGACTAGAACAAGGACTCAAGGTGTTCAAGGCAAGGAGTTCTTTTCTGCTCACTCAGGATCTTCCGGTGACAGCAATCCCTCAGATTCAGGCTGTCACAGTGTTCAGCGATATGGGAGCAATGCAGCAAAATGCACGGACAATGCACCAGGAAGTTCTTGAGTTAATTTCAGCCCTTTCAGATGGAGGGACTTCAGACAGCGGATCCACTGTATGTCTTCGGTCAACCCAGTGCTTCAAACTGACTATTGTGGCAGATCAGCAAGGTCTTTTCCAGCTCCTACGCCAGGTATGACTTTGGATTCAATACTGCATGGCTTGTTTGTGACTCCTCAAAAGCTCAAACTCACTCTCATTGTTGCCCTCCGAACCAAAGAGATTCCATGGCCGTGAATCTGATGTTTCAGCCATCATCCAAGCTTTTGGCCAGGAGACTCCCCGGATAGCAATCTTAGGAGGAGGGGGAATGGGGAAAACAAGCCTTGCGAGGGCCATTCTCCATCACCCAATAATCTCTGGGAGATATCACCAACACCGTTTCTTTGTTGCCTGCGATGCAGCATCAACTAGTATCCAGCTCGCAGCTCTGATAGCACTGCATGTGGGCCTGAAGCCAGCAGAGGATCTCACTCAACCCGTCATCCGTCACTTCTCGAAACAATCTCCTTGCTTGTTGATTCTGGACAATCTCGAGACTGTCTGGGAGCCAAGAGAGACCCGTGGAGATGTTGAAAAATTCTTGGCCTTGCTTGCAGATATATCGCATTTGGCATTGATTGTAAGCCAGGGGAGTAATTTCGTTGGATGTATACTAAAATCCCCATAGATAACAATGCGCGGAGCAGAGAGGCCAGCAAATGTCAAGTGGACTCACCCTTTCCTGCCACCATTGAGGCCATTGACACAGGAAGCCGCCCGCAAAGCCTTTATTGAGATTGTCGATGATGGCTATTCTGCTGAAGAGATCGATAGAATCCTCAGCATGACCGATAACATGCCACTGGCCATTGATCTTATAGCCCATTTGGTGGACTATGAAGGCTTAGCTAGTGTCATGCTTCGCTGGGAGACAGAACGGATCTCGCTGCTCTCAGATGGCCAGAACAAAGGATCAAATTTGGAGTTTTCAATCTCTCTGTCCTTGCAATGTCCCCGACTGGCAAGCATGCCTGACTCGCGGGAGTTATTGAGCCTTCTCTCAATGTTGCCAGATGGCCTTTCAGATGTAGACCTGCTGCAAAGTAAACTTCCACTTGAGAATATTCTAGCATGCAAAGCCAATCTACTTCGCACCTCTCTAGCCTATGCAGACGATCAGAAACGGCTTAAGGCATTGGTCCCCATCCGTGAATATATGCAGAAAATGCACCCCCCTATGGCCCATCATATTCAACCACTCCTAAAACACTTTCACAAGCTACTCGACATTCATGAGACATACCATGGGACAAGCTCAAGTCCCGGAATTGTAGATCGAATAATATCAAACACTGCAAACATCCAGAGTATCTTGAGAAATGGTCTAAATGAACAAAACCCTGACCTCATCAATATCATCTACTGCACATGTCAGTTTGACAGCTTCATGAGAATGACTGGGCATGGCCAGACTCGATTAATCTACGAAATTTCGAGTGTTCTTCCCCACCCCAAAGACCATAGACTCGAGGTTCATTTTATCATG